CTTTGAAACTTGATGTCCATGTTGTCTTCATCAAAACACATGCTTTGAATATGACTTGAGAAGCTTGCAATTACATTCTCTCCCTTTTTGATGATGACAACCAAGTCTTGAAAACGATTTCTTGAAATGTTCATGTTGTTTTGTGTAGCGAACATGTTGAGCAAATGCAAGGCTCCCTCTAAATTGTATGCTCCTCCTAAGTCCATGATTCTTTGAATTTTGGAGAGAGTTTGATATTTATTTGGGCCTGCAATTTCTTGAAACAAAACAACATACATGCATACTCTTCTCCCCCTTTGTTAACATCAAAAAGGATGGGGAAAAAGAGTGAAATATATACATATAAAAATTAAGACGTGTATAAAAAGAGAAACGTTAGATCACCTTCATCCAAAATACCAAGATCTTTTCCAAGCTTTTTGTTCTTGATGGACCAAAGAGATCCATGTGTAACAATTGTAGTGGTCTTGTAGTAGACACCACATTCTTAGATTTGAAAGTTGTTTTGGTCTGTTTGCCCTTTTGGCATGCATTACATAATTTGTCCTTGATGAACTTCATCTTTGGTAGACCAATAACTAAGTCATGCTTAACCAATTTGTTCAAGTGCTCCATGAGAATGTGAGCGATCCTCTTGTGCCATAACCAAGCGTCATTGTTGTTTACCATAAGACATTGTACCTTCAGAGACAAATCATCTAAAGTAATCATAAAAATATTGTTAGTTCTTATACCTTTGAGTTTTACCTCATTGGTTGCCTCATCCATAATGAGACATTCATCTTTGTTGAATTTGATCTTGAACCCTCTATCGCAAAGTTGACTTATGCTAAGAAGATTGTGCTTTAATCCTTCAACATAGAGAACATCCTCAATTTGAATGGATGGAGGTGTGCCAACTATTCCAACGCCAAGAATCTTTCCTTTGGTGTTATCTCCATAGGTGACATACCCTTTGGCTTTATGTACTAGATATGAAAATTGGTGTACATCTCATGTCATATGCTTTGAACATCCACTATCAAGATACCAAACATTTGATGTGGATTTCAAGCATACCTACACAAACAAATTATTCTTTGTTAGGTACCCAAGTTGCCTTGGGTCCTTCATAGTTAGTTCCCTTTTTCACCCACACATAATGCCCACTTGCTATACTAAAGTTTCTAACATAGCAAGCATTAGGTGTATGGCCTTTAATACCACAATAAAAACAAGTAGGTTCAAAGTTACTTCTATATCTAGAAGGATAAGATTTCTTCTTAGGAAATGTTTTCTTTTTCGATACATTAAACTTTTTCTTTTGATGATTATGAACAACTTGCTTCTTTTCTACTTTCTTGGGATTAGAACTATTACTAGCCTTTACAAAAACAGTGGGATTGTTACTTGGTTTCTTAGAATTCACATAACCAAGACCCCTTTTATCATTAGGATAACGTTGTTGGCTTAGTAATCCTTCCAATCCTATTTGTCCTTTTTCATATCGTTCAATGACTCTTTTCAATTGAACAATTTGAAATACATTTGATTCACACTTGGAGCATGCAAAGTTTTCTTTTTCTTTAATAAAATTCTGTTTTTGAAGTTCAAAATCTTTAGTCATGGTGTCAATTTTTTCTAAACAACTTAGAAGTTCTTTTTTTTGATTTGACACCTTTTTGTATAAACTTTTGCATTCTCTCAAGAGTTCATCAATAGCATCTTGAACATCATCATCAAAAAGATTAAATTCATTACTAACCTCTTCTTCATTGTCGGAGTGATGTGAAGCCATTAATGCTAGATTTGCACATTCCTCGCTTTCCGAATCGGATGAAGAACTTATCTCATTATCTTCCCATGCAACATAAGTCTTTTTGTTCTTGAACTCCTTTTTGCCTTTGAATCCATTTTTCTTGGAGAGTTTTGGACAATCCGGCTTTATGTGACCTTGCTTTCCACATTCATAACATGTGACATCTTGTGTTGATGTGGAGGCTTCTTTATCTTTATGATTATAAAATTTCTTCCTCTTGAAAAAGTTAGCATTATGAAGATTATTTTTATGACCAAAATATTTTCCTAACCTTTTTACAAGAAGCAAGAAGTTTTCATCTTCCTCTGATGCATCTTTATCTTGACTTTCCTTTGAATCAACTTTCAAGGCAATGCCTTTGGATTTCTTCTCTAAATTTTCATGTTTTTCAAGTCTACCGAGTTCCGTTTCATATTCTTGAAGTTTGCCAAATAATGTAGCAGAAGTCATTGCAGAGAGACTCTTCTTTTCCGAGATTTCCGTTACCTTTGGTTGCCATTCCCTAGTCAATGATCTAAGGATTTTCAAGTTGAGTTCATCATTTGTCAAAGTTTTACCAAGAGCATTTAAGTGATTTGTCAAATGCACAAATCTCTTTTGTAAGTCAAGAATGGATTCTCCGGACTGCATTCGAAATAGTTCATATTCTTGACTCAAGGTATTTAGCCTTGATCTTTTTACTTCAGCCGTTCCTTCATGAGTTTGAACCAGGGTATCCCATATTTCTTTTGCTGTCTTGCAGTTCGAGACACGGAAAAATTCGTCCATACTGAGTGCACCTTGAAGAAGGTTTATTGCCTTTTTGTCATAGAGAACTTTCTTTTTATCATCGTCGTCCCATGCAGTTTTGGGCTTTACAAAACCAATGCCATTGATAACTGATATCGGGATAAATGGACCATTTTCAACAGCATCCCATACTTCCTCTCCTTGTGCTTCTAAATGCGCCTTCATGCGTATTTTCCAGAAGTCAAAATATTCACCAAAGAATAGAGGAGGCTTGTTGTTACTACCACCATCTCTGAAGACTGGTTGATGATTTGCGGAAGCCATTCTGGATCTTTAGGAACAAGTTACCTATAACTTGCTCTGATACCAATTGTAAGTCTCAGAGTGCCTAAGAGGGGGGGGGGGGGGGGGGGTGAATTAGGTCTTATAAAAATTTACTCGATTTTATGAGAATGCTTGGTAGTAATTTTTGGTTAAGTGTTTGAAGGTTTTGTTTATATCTTTATCTTTTCCTGATTATGGTGATGAAAGCGATAAATGCGGAAAAGTAAAGAACACGGTGATATATCCTGGTTCCCCTCACAATCCGAGAGTACTCCAGTCCCCTTTCCAACACGAAAGAGATTTCACTATAGTTAGAATGATTGTACAGCCTATGCTTACTATCTAACCTATAGGGTGATCAAAGGTTCTTAACACCTTTAAGACCAAACAAACACTAATGTGAATGAAGAACAATCCTCTTCAAATCACAACACTTACTTCCAACAATCCTGGATAGTAAGGGAAAATCTTTAAGTAATACAATGATTAATTTTGAAGTATATGGAGAGCTTTATCAATCTTCAATTGATCTTCTTCTTCAAGATAAAAACAATTCTCAACAATGTATATAAATGTTCACAATGTATGAATGAAACTTGTAATGATAATGAAAGTGTATATGGCAAGTTTCACAAATTTATGAACACATGAAAGTTTAAATTCAAATGAGAGTGAATGAGAAAATTGTTAATGAAGAAGTATATTTGTTAATTTGAAAATTGAAGTATTGAATTGTTTTTTGAAAATAAGAAATTCTGCATTTTATAAAGTTGTAAGAACCTCTTCATTCATGCCAATTCATATGAAAAGATGCAATGCATTCATGAAAAGATACCACTTGAAAAATGTTCAAAAAACAAAGTAAAAGCTGCATTGGTTCGCTAGGAACCGGTTCCGACACTGACAGAACCCGGTTCTTAGTGAACGTTATAAATTGAAATTCAAATTTATCACGCAGGAACCGGTTCCCCTATTGGTACAACCCGGTTCCTGGTACAAAATCCAGGGACATGTTTTTTGAGAAATGCTGCAACCCGGTTCCCTGTTAGGGAGGAACCGGTTCCTAAAGGTTTATTTTCAAAAATACATTTTGAAAGATATTTCAAACAAAAATTTTCTTGATGTTAAAGTTATGGAATATGTATATGTTGATGAATGCATATTGTGAACATCTATATTCAAGGTTTTAAGAATTATTTATACCATATTGACATTTGATGATTTCTTTAATAATTCTTCAATAATCTTCAAGACTTTTATTTTGATGTTGATAAGCTTTTTGCACATCCTTTGAAACTTGATGTCCATGTTGTCTTCATCAAAACACATGCTTTGAATATGACTTGAGAAGCTTGCAATTACAACTTCTTATTGTTTCAACCAAAGTGAATTCATCATCAGTTGTCAATCTTTGTTATTTTTTCCAAAATTTCTATATCCTTTAGGCAACATCTTAAAAGACTATTTTCACCTTATAAATACTAAATAAATAAATAAAAGTTAGCTCAATGAATTTTTTTTCAATTCACATTCACACATACTTAAGATATTGTTCTCATCTTACTTGTTTCCACACTTCATAATTAAGATTCTTATGGGCACTGCTACATTAGTCTCCTGGGTGTAGAGTTTAATCTGAGTAAGGAATAGTAATGGTACCTGTTAATACTTCAAACTAAGAAACTAATTCTTGTGTGGATGTTTTAAGGGCAATGAGGTCTAGTACAGGTGATCCAAACTTATCCAAAAGTGCAAAATAGCTAATTAAAATTTTCAGCTATCCATCACATCAAAACATCTTAAATCTTTATTGAAAATATCATTTCTAACCGCTCTCTTGAAAATTAACAACTAAACCAAATTTATATATTTTCAAAAAACAATTTTTTTATTTTAATGGCAAACTGAATAATAAATATTTTTTAAAAAAAACTAAAAAAACACAAGACTAAATTGGTCTCACAATCAAATACTATTAACAAAGTCTTATTAACTATCAGCAACTCACAGCATGTGTGAAATACATTGTCTGAGCTTATATGTTGCAGACATCTAAACAGCAAAAGTGCAAAATATACACAAAACAAACATCATAGTAATCAATTCACTAGGAAGAAATAGAATGGTAAGAGGACCATGCAAATGCTAGCTATTCTTTGGTTCTAACAGATGATAGATCACCTAGCCCACCAGCCATCCTCTCAGCCTTTTCCGCACGCTCACCTGAAAATTGGTATGTAAAACTTGAGCGTATAATTTTGTTTTCATTTTTAGACAACTTAGGGAGGCAAACAGTTACCTGTGCGAACTCTTATTACATCAGATACTGGCATCACTGCACAATTAAAGTTCCATTAAAAATACAGGTATCAGCTCAGAACAGATCACAATGTATAATTCACTGGTATAACAACTCAAAACATCTCAAAAAAAGTAAGTTTCGGCCTTACAGAAAATTTTGCCATCACCAATCTCCCCAGTCCTCGCTGTCTCCAAAATTTTGTCTAGTACTGTCTCAACCTGAAGAAATACATGATATCAGAGATGCTGCAGAAAGTAACATTTTTTCTTTGTAATTTAAGTAGTTTGAAGTTTTATTCAGAGTTGTAACTACTAAATAAATCAAACACCAATGAACTGAAGATGTGTATTCTAACTACTCAACTACTCAACCATGTCCTTTGTTGTCAAACAAAAGAAAACTGTTTTGTTTAGTCTCTTGAAATTCAAGCACTTCGAAACAGTGACTAATCATGTGTATGGGTTCTCACATATGTTTTGTTGATTAAGAAAAAGATAACTTATAAATTAAGGGCATACTAATAAATTTTGTTCAAATTGTGCATGCTAAATGATCATCCTTATCTCAAGGTGCACCAGGTTTTTTTTTAATATGACCACGTAGGACTTGAAAAACTTCCGATATATTACATGAAAAGAAAAGTACACAAACATTTGTAGCTCACGATGCTAGTGAAATAACAAACAAATGTAAACACACCTGATCTTTCTTCACTACTATTTCCATTTTAACTTTGACGACAAAATTGTCTTCAGAAAATTCAGAGCCTGTGAAGAATACACCATTAATAAAAGACAAATGATGTAAGTGTGCATGTGACCTATAAGTAATATGCATAGTAAAGCAAAGTGTACAAATCAACTCCAAAGGAAGGTAAAAATGTAGTATTTCTTGACTCTTGAGAGCTATACATAATAGAACAAGAGTTACAAACTTAAAACATAGCTAAAGTTGGTTGGCCGCAGGCCTAAACTTGTGTGCACACATTTTAGTAAATCAAGAAAAAATCAATTGTTTTTTTAAGGCACAAATTCAACAAAACTGTCTACTCTAAAAATTACTTATTCATAGAATATATTTTCTTCAGCGATGTACTTACCTCCATGCCTCTCTTTCGTACCACCTTGAGCACCAAACCCCTTGACATCAGATACAGTGACGCCACGAATTCCCATTTTCAACAAAGCCTTCAAATAAAATAAAATAAAAAATAAACTCAGTATCAGCACATGTCAACAAGCTAGTAACTAGTAAGTATAATAGCACAAAGATCCCCCAAATGAATTATATATGAGCAATATTGGCTAAATCAGTTATTCGAGAGAGGTACTAAGTTGCAAGTACAAACTCAACAAACGTAAAGCCATGAATCTCATCCCAAGAGAATGATGAGCTTGTTCTATAAGGAAAAATTAATGCAGTATTTTCGCTAATTGCATTTGTAGAAACAACTTTATGTACCAACTGTTGGAAATCTACTGAGTAAAACCTTTTGGAAGTAGAAAAAAATGAGATACCGAACAAAATCAGTTGAACGAACATTACACTGAGATACATAATTTATATACACAACACGTGCGCTAACCAAATGCCAACTAATTAACAGAACTATTATGTCACTTTGAAACTAATTAACTAACACTTCTATACATTACATTGAGACGCACAATTTTTTAAATTTATATACATAACCAATCAACTCACAGAATAGTTAATCAACTCACAAAATGTTTAGCTAACAACAGCATGCTAAGCAAATCACAGAATAGTTAATCGACTTTGAAACTAATTTAATAAAACTAAGCCAACGGAATTAACTAACTAACTTTTTGTGAAAACAGAATTAACTAACTAACTAACTTTTGGATAAAACAGAATTAACTAACTAACTAACTAACTTTTGGATAAAACAGAATTAACTAACTAACCAACTAACTTTTTTTAAGAAAAACTGACTTAACTTTTTTCTGAAAGACAAACTCACAGAATATCTAACCAAATGCTAACTAACTAACTAACAGAAATCAGTTAAAAAAATCTAACAGAAATCAGTTTAAAAAATCTAACAGAATTCAGTTAAAAAAATCTAACAGAACTCAGTTACAAAAATCTAACAGAATTCAACAAAAAATATCTACCAGAATTCAGTTAAAAAAATCTAACAGAATTCAGTTAAAAAATCTAACAGAATTCAGTTACAAAAATCTAACGGAATTCAATTGAAAAGAAATATCTACCAGAATTCAGTAAAAAAAAAACTAACAGAACAGTTAACTGATTTCTTAACAAATTAGCCAACATCTACACTGTAAGAATCTACTACAATGCATAACTGACTATGCATCCAATTCAGTGTAAATAACAAGAATCGCATCCAATTTCACACATGCAACAAAATAAATCAACAAAAAAGGAAAATGCGTTACCGAAGAAACATGAGGAATTCTCCATGGCCTGTTCATCGTTCAAAACAGAAGTCAAAAGAACCGAAAACACAAATAAGCATCAAGAAAACTCCAGATTCAACTGATTTCACAGTAAACATAAAAGAAAAGTGCTATAACCTGAGAATCGCTTCGATTTTGTAAAACTTAGAATCCGGAACATAGTCTGAGATCAAACGAAAAAGATTCAGCAACGGTATTTCAAGAAAGAACATCGATGAACATAGATAGGTATGGAAAATGGAAATGTATTCGCACCGGGAAGATTCTGAGCTTTGATTTTGGGAAGAATCAGTGCGTTTCTTCTGGTTCTGAGACGCACATTGCGGTCAGGACAATCTCCAAAACGCTTGCGAATGACGCTGAAAGTTGAAAAGGGAATTTCAGTTTGTTTGAGCTGGAAACTCGCGAGATTGAACACGTTGGTAGTCGAGATCAAAGCCATTATTACTCTTAGTTACTCACTCGCTCACTATACAGTCAACTTTTGTGGAATTTCCTTTTCGAGATATCTTATATATAGTAACGGTTTTCGCATCGTGATTGGTGAAATGGAAGCCCAAACCTCAGGCCCAACTCCTCTATCATTTATTTTTTCTGTAATATATTAAGAATTACTAGAAAGTGGTATGATTTGTTATTTGTTAATAAAATAGTATAAGGAGTATTTTGTAATTTTAATGGGTTTATGGAGATTAAGGTGTTCAAAATCAACTCAATCTAAATGAAAATTGTAAAAAATCAAATAGTTGAGATTTTCCGCTAAAGAATGAAGGTTTAGAAAATATCTAATTCGATTTTTATTATTAAATTTTATTTCTATTACTAAAGTCTCATTTCTTTAAGAATTAGAGTGTAAAAAAAAAAAAAATTTTTTTTAATATAATCTGCAAGTTAAATTTACATGTTATTAAATTTTGTAAACCGATTTAATAAAATTATATATTATTAAATGTGTTTAAGTATCATTTAAAAAAATTATTCAGAATTAAATTTTAAATTAATTTTTAAAAATTAAATCAAACTGCATTTTTATATTTTAATTTATATATTAATATGATATATTATACTATTAATCTATCAATATCATTAATTCATTTTTAGTTTTTAATTTCTACTTAAAAATTTAATCTATTTTTTATTTCTCTGTTTCAAACTCAATCAATAATTGTTATAGCATAATATTATCTTTAATATATTATATATTATATTTTGCATCTAATCTATTGTTTTATATTATTTTAACGTGTTATTTATGATTTATAATTTATAATTTAAATATCAAAAAGCAAATAAATTTTTAAAATTGAATCAAATCAAATTGATTTTTAAAAACTACCATTTAAAATTAGATTGAACCACGTATAATATTATTTTCGAATAATATAAAAAATTATAAAAATTGATCAAAACCGCACTACAAACATTCTAGAAGAGAGAAACTAGTTAGAGGGTTGATTCCCAGCAATTTTAAAAATTGAACCACATATAATTTTATTTTGAATAATATAAAAAATTGATCAAAACCGCACTACAAACGTTCTAGATGGGAGAAATTAGTTAGAGGGTTGATTCCCAACAATTTTAAAAATATTAATGCTTTTGAGTTTTAACTAAATTATTTTAATTTTTTAAGAAGAAGAAAAATTCAAAGAGAAATTAACACTTTTGTCAAAAAAGAAGAAGAGAAATAACAATTTTTTTATATACTTTTTATATACTATATCTATTTTTTCTTATAAGTTATTGTTGATTTTTCACATATATTAAGAAATATAATTATTATTGTACGAAAAAAATAAATTATAAAATATTTTATAAAATTATTCTTCAAAAATAAATTTAAAAAAACTAAAATAAAAAAGTATAATAAAAATTTAAAAGTACTATAAAAAAATACTATTAATAATCTATTGATATCGTAAAACAATTTATATTTTGATATACAATTTCTTCCCAAAACTACTTATAATAAGGGTATATTTTTTCTTCATTTTAGAAAGAACTCAATGTGATATAGTTAATGTGATATGGTCAATGTCTGGTTGATTATGGGATGGGGTGACGAGGAACGCAAAATTTCATATTAGGAGAAAAATAGTTGAGAAATATGAAATTCTTCATTTGTTCACATTTCAATTACAATCCTTTATATTTGAAGGATGATTCTCATAATTAATTATCATAAGCTAGTTTTTTATCATAGCAAATCCCTTAATTAACAATAACTATTTTCCTGAACTTAATTAACAATTAGGTATATTGAAGATGATTCTGCCTCTTAGAGTTTATGTTTTGTTGTTTATCATTTATTTTTTCTAGTTTTGTTTTATTGTTATTAAATCTCCTCGCATGATTGCCCATTATAGGGTTAGGTTCTTAAAAAAAATAATTACACGTGGATAAGTCAAACTGTTTGATCATAATCTTAGCAATATGCTTCTAGTCAAATTGTCAAAATTTTGAATTAAGAACTACATTTGAGAATGGTCCAAGTCATGTCAAGTTTGAATTCTGAAAAACACTTCATATTATGTAAAAATTAAGTTTCTAGAAGTGTGATTCGAATCACAAGCTTACATGATTCAAATAAAAAATACAGTGAAGCCAAAAATTGCTTTTATGAAGTCATGATTCAAATCACAGATATTCTGACTCAAATCAAACATAATTAAGAAAAGAAGGATTTGCTTCAGTTTGTGTGATTCGAATCACAATAATCCATGACTAGAATCAAAGAGGTTTAATTTGAATCACACATGTGCTTGACTCGAATCACACATATATAGTAGTTTTTGGGTTTGTGACTGTGTGTATGATTGTGGTTGGGATTCACAAATCCAACGAAAAAGAATGAGACATTCTCTCCTGTTTACCGTGAATTTTAGTAAACGAGTGCTAGTCTTCTAAAAGGTTACTTACAAGATCAACTTGATCCTAGGACATACGTGCACAAAGTGTTTTTAAAGTTTGTATGATTTTTGTGTGTAAAAGATACAAAGATTTCGACGTATGCGAAATCTTTTAAGGCAGGATAAAAGAGATAAAGTAAACAATGCAAAAAATATAGAAAAGGTGTTGACAATAGTCGAAAAAATGAAACTAAATGCAAAAAGTAATTTAATGTAAAAGACTTTGCATTAATAAAAGATGGTGTTTGCATACATACATTGCACTCGATCAAACTCTTTTCTCACTTCACTCAGATACTTTGAGTATATTGAGTTTTGTAGTAATTTCAACACCCTGAATTCTAACACTAAAATTCTTATTTATACGGAAACCTAAATAATTGTAACGAACGTTCCTTTCTTCAGTGTTTGACACATCGTGGTTTGCATGTGTTTCGCCTCCAAACTTGCTTCCATGCGTCCTTTTGTTAGGTGTCAAAATGTGTTAATATTTAGTATAAATTATTGGTGTTTTTTTTATTCTATTTATTGAATATTGTTGTACCCCAAAATTTGCTCTCTCATTTCTCAAGAAATCTCTCATAAGATCTCCATTGATTCAAGACTACACAAGGTTTGATCAGCTCTAGACACCTCCTCAAGCACTGATGACTCAAATTAGGGTTTGAGTTTGCACAAGGACAAATTGACTTTTAATTCCCCATATGACTTTCATGGATCATTTTGGATCCCCAAGATTTCTCATGTCAAGTTTCAAGTCTTGGATCACATTTTTGCTCAGTCAGTTGATCAGTTGACCTAAAATCAGGTGCATTAGGGAAAAAAGTCAACTATGGTCAATTTGCATTCAAACTTCATAATTTTTTATCCATATCAACATCATGAACTCATATATATCAATTGATCAAGTTTGGATCATAATTCCTCAAGAAATTTGATCAGATCATTAAAAGGGCAAAATGGTCAAAATTAGGGTTTTGACTGAAAAGGTTCAATTTTTGACTTTTGATCTAACAAATGACGTATTGGTTTAAGACATGATCTCAAGGAATCAAATGCACCATCTTGACCTAATTGCATAGTTTAAATCACATCTCAAGATTATTGGATTGACAGATGAATTTCAGTCAACTGATGAAAAGTCAACTGTACACTAGAAAGTCAAACTTTAACTTTTTGATCAAAATCAAGTCTCAAAGATTATAATTCATCAAGACATGTCAAAATATGAAACTTGTTCATCAAGAAATTGAAAAGTCAAAATTCCTTTTTGAAAAGTCAAAATTCTAAGACTTAAAAATTTTTCTAAGTGTTGGAAAATTAACTTTTTTCCACAACTTTGTACCAAATTTCCACCATGATGCAAGATGATTCAAGGGAAACTTCCAACATGAAAGTTGTATATATCAATGAGATCTAAAACATTTTAGGGAAGAACATTTTCTAGAAATTATTGTATTTCAAGTTATGAATTTGTGAAGACATGTCCATGAAACTAAAAAGACTTGGTGAAATTTTGTCCTAGTTAGGCTGAATTTTGACCTAACTTCATGGCAACTTTTCACCTAGTTCAATATTAAATCTTCAAAATTTTCCAACTTGAAGGTTGTAGAGGATGTTACAAGCTTTCCAAAATGTCTAATAACTTGAAGAGATAATTTTTGAGCTAGGAGATTCGAAGACTTGAAGTTGGCATGATGAACTTGAATTACAAGTCAATTTTGTGATGAACACTTGACCAAATCCATAAGCTATGCTGTATAATCTTGATTTGCAGGTGTCTAACTTGCAAATCACTCCTTAATTTAATGTTTACACAAATGATTGATCAATTGTCCAATTGATTCAAGCATTGTCCAAAGCATTTTGCCATTTTAGGGAGAAAGTCACCATTTCCATTCTAGTAAAGCAAGCCTTTATGCAAAGTCAACTTCTTGAGCTCCCAACTTGTTTCATCTGAGTACAAGCAATGTCAAAGATAAAAGAAACATGTCTAGAGCCTCCAATAAACTGATACCATGCTTGTACTATGCCTAGAAACCATGTTTTTCACTTTTCTTCAAAATTAAGTAACATAGCCATAACTCTATATCTCACAAATCTGTCAACTTCAAACCCTAAGACCTCTTGCTTATAACTATACAAGTTATTTGCAAGCAAACACATGAGCTGAAACACTCTTAAATCCTCCCAAGCACCTTGTTGCATAGAACTGGCCATAACTTTACAATTTTGAACTTAAAACCCCCAAATCAAAAACCACTCGTGCGTTTTAAAATATAATCATCCATACACTCTCTATACATCATATCAAAGCTATCCCAATACCTGTTACACTCATGTAACTCCATTTTCATCATTCACCATTTTCAAACATCCACCTTGTAGGTTGACTTGAGTAGGGAGACTCAAGGACTTTCAAAGCAAAGTAAAGTTTACAACACACTCAGGGAGGTCCAGGCAAGCTAAACAGATCATTGGGAAACCTCAAAGCTTGCTCAAACTAAAAATATGACTTCCATCTACAAGGTGA